AGTACCAATAAGATTTAAAATATAAAATGATGTAATAATAGTATGAGATGATTGGTAAATTAAATAATGATAACATATAAACAAAAATGATGCGATAATAATATAAAATAATTGGATAAAAATGTAAATTAATGCTATTGGATAAAAATGAAAATAAAAAGATAAAAATAAAAATAAAAGAAAAAGTTTAAATAAATATTATTGCGCTAAAATATAACGTGATATAACTGATGAAAGGTAGAATGGTAACAATACTTTTTCTACTTCATACTCTTATACTTTTTATACTTTTATACTTTCTATACTTTTTATATTTTTTATACTTTTATATATTTATACTTTTTATACTTTTATACTTATTTATTCTGAGTAAAGATAATTTAGCCAATTAAAGTTCTTTGAGATTTATATTTTTTCTCCTTTATTTTTTTACTTTTCATATTTAATAAATTAGAATTCTATTTTTAGTTAATATAATTATCTTTTATATCTTTTTCTTGTTTTAATATTATATTTGTATTTTGAAGAAAATATATAAATATGAGTTATAGTTGAGCTTTAACTCAACATGTTGGAACTTGAGAATAAATAATATAATAAAACAAATACCTTTTAACACTTAAACAATTTGCATTTCTCTCTCAAAAGTACACTTCAAATCTTGTGAACAAGTAGTTTTGAGACTGTATTGAGCTGATTAAAATATTGATATTGAATTATTGAATTGATATTTTATTATAGACTAGTCTTTTGATATTTTTGTTATAATTGAATTATTTGGAATTTCTTAACTAAAGATATCATAATCTCTTTCTTTTGAGAAGAACGAAGTGAAAAAGTCTTCATTATTTTTTTATTTTGTTATTTTAATTAGTTAGTTAAATTATTAGTTACTTTAATTAAATAATTCGTAAATTAATTAGTTAGTACAGTTATTCAGAATACTATACCTAATTGAAATACTATTATTTTATCCTTTTTCCCTTTCAAACTATAATAATTTCAGTAAAAATTGGCATAGGACTTAGATATCATTTTTGCATTCCTCTTATATTTGTTTAATTATTTCTCCCAACTCTTGTTCACATTTATTAGTTAATTACCCTATCAGTGAAAAATGTGTAACATCATAATGACTTTTTGAAATTGGTACTTTTGTAATAATTAAATCAGATAAAAGATAGAATTTATGATTTCATTTTGTCAGTAATAATTTATTTGATCTATTTCTCTCTTCTCTCTTTTTTTATAAATAAATTTAGATTTTTTTATATTCATTAATTTTATTAATTATAATAATTATATATGTTTAATATTTATTTATTTGTTCATAATTTAGATATTGAATTACTCTATTAGGACAATTATTATTATTTTATTTATTCATATTTATAAGAATACTTTTTTATGTAAATAAGTTTAAGATAAATTTATTAATTGTTATAAATAAATTATATTAATTGAGATAATTTTCAGTTTTAATTTCAATAAAACTTATTCTTTATTTATTAAATAGTGAAACAATCTAAAGAGTTATAGTACAGAACAAAGATATTTGAATTAATTTATAGGTAAGATATTTTTGAATTTAAGTTTTTATGTGAAGAATTATTGATAAAATTCTTTTTATTAACTTTTAATTGTCACTTTTTCTAGCTAAAAGTCTTAAATTATTTAATTATAAAGCATTTTTTAATTAATTAATCAATATGTTTGCCATTAACAATATCAATATCTTTTCTGAACTAAGGAATCTAATCACAATTAATTATAATAATTTTAAAGTCTAATTTTACTTGAAGAAGAATTATATACAATTTAATTTTGTTTTTTTATTAATATTTGCAAGATCTATATATATATTTTGATTATATTATGAAGTATTAGTTCAGAACTTATTGTATAATGTACTCAATTTTTTAAAAGAGAATAAAAGAAATAGAAAATAAGAGCAAGATCAAAAATAAAAATAAAAATGAATTTAGAATAGAAAATAAAAGTGAAATAAAAATAGAAAACAAAAGTGAAATTAAGATAAAAAACAAAAGTAAAATAAAAATAGAATTTTAAAATAAATTTAAACTAATAAAATCAGACTAGACAAATTTTATCAAACTTGAGAAATTGATAAAATTATTATTAATCCAGTAATAATAGTATAATTTTAAATAATTTTAGATATTTACTCTTTATTTTTTTTAGCTGTTTCTTCTTGAATTCTTTTTTTCATTTGATAGATTACTTACTTTTTTCGCAGTTGGTCGTTGTTCTAATTCACTGATTAAATTATTTTTTTTAAATACTTATAATTATAATTATATATTAAATTAAAGTAATTTAAGTACTAATATATAGTAATAATTATAAATATTTGAATATCTAATAGTATTTAAAATTATATTATAATATATAATTACTAATTACTTATATTTATAAATTAATAAAACTTTTATATTAAATATTATATATTTATAAATTTTTATATTTTAAATATAATTAGTTATTTCATAATATATATGTATATTTTAATATTTAATAATTTAATTTTTAATATCCAGTAATTCAATTTTAGCAAAAAAATTATTGTTCAATTTGTTATAATTAAATAGTAATATTTTTGTTTAAATCAAATTGCTAAATATTAAAATATTATATTTTAAAGTAACCAATTCATTATTAACAAAAATGAAATAGTTAATTTAGAATATAATATTTAATTACAGTAATTTAATTTGAATAAAAATAAAATAACATTATTTGATTTGTTTAGTTAAAACAAATCAAATTACTAAATATCACATTCTAAATTGACTGATTTATTTTTTTGACAATTAATTTCTAATAGAAAATTTATTGATAACTATGAATTTGTTACTTTAGAATATAATATTTTAATATTTAGTACATGATTTATATGAAAATATTATTATTTGATTTGCTTAAATTATATAAATCAAATAATAGTATTTTTGTTCAAATCAAATTACCAAATTAAGATATTATATTCTAAAGTAATTAATTTATTGTATTTGAACATGAAAGTTTATGTACATGTACAATATCTAATATAAAAGCTTTACCAATCTATAAATATACAAGTAATCAAGTATTGTATTATATTTTATATTCAGAAAATTTGAATTGTTATATATATAATTTTGAACAATACTAGACATTCAGATACTTATAGCTGCTATTATATATTAGCTAATATTAGTTTGATAAAGGTGTCTCCTTCCCATCCCCAGGTAAGATCTTTTACCCAATTAAAATACTTAATTTGTATTACTTAAGATCACCATAGCTAATAAATGTTACTGCCCTAAGTATGGTGCATAACATCTAAAGTTATCAAACATTTGTATTTTATAAAATGAATAAACTTCTTTATTAAGAAGTAAATATCCATAAATATGCTCAGAAAGGGTCTATTCTATCATTTTTACGGATTAAATTTTGTATTTACTTTTTAGTTTATCCATTTATAAAATACAAATGTTTGATGAATTTAGATTTTATGCACCATACACATATTTATTTCTTACATACTGGGCATATGATGTGTGAGTCACATAAAATCGGAGGAACTCATCTAAAGCTCTGTTCGGGTCGAGTTTGAGGTCAACCCGAACCGATAATTTCGGGTCGTGTCGGGTTTGATCCGAAATCGTAAAATAGTTTTTCGTTAATAACTTTTGTTTTTACTAAGCCACTTGTATTTGTGTCTTAAGTAGAGTTGTTCGGAATGTAATTGTGTATTTATCCACAAATTTTCGTTTAATTTCAATTAATATCGAACGAGAAATAACATTTTTAGGCTGACCCGAAATATTTCGGGTCGAGTTTGAGCACTAAATTCATCTTTATTTTCCGATTGCGAATGTAATACAGGTAATAGGTAGCATTTATATGGATTCGGCCAACATTAATCTTATCTTCCGGTACTCATATCTCTATCGAGGAATATAGTTTAACTTTAAACGGGACGGGTAATAAAACAAAGTAACAAAAAAGGGTAAAGATTACTTCTTAAGAACTACATGTACATGTATTATCGACAAACAGATAATATTACCTAATGCTAACGCTAAACTGAAAAAATCTCATATTACATATACCTGCATAAATCAAACATTACGTAACTTAATGTAACATTGGAAGTTTCAAGCACAAGTAATACCGAATCAATGATATACCGGAAGATAATTATTGCGTTATGCGTCATCAATACCTGAAACCATACTTTTCCTTATTCCATTTGACGATCAGATGGCATTCAAATAAATATATATATCCCTCCCTGAAGCACACAAACCAGAATAATTAGACAGTGTCGCTGAAACAGAATTCAATTTATTCATAAACAAGACCACGATACTTTAAAATTTCTTTCTACAACCATGAATCTTCGTTTCGGTTTATCTTCTTTCATTTGCATTGTAGTGATTATGGCCTTGTTGCTCACCGATAAAGGTAAACTATCTGTATCAAGCTACCATTGACCTGCACTAAGTTTTAAATTTTTCTTTGACGATTAATTTATATTTATTAAATAGTTGCGCACGCGAAGAACAAACTGAGAAGCATTCTTGCTTTTGACATAATGAAAAGAGATTGTGTGCCGGGGAGCGGTCAAGGACAATGTGATGTTGCAGATCCTTGCAACATCGGCGCTGATTGCGTGACCGGTACATGTGAGGGTGGAGCTTGTAAGTGTTTGCCAGGGAACAATAATGGGGATTGTGATGATGGAGATGCGTGCACCAGCAGCAATGATTGCACTATTGGGACGTGTCGTAATTGGGTTTGTACTTGTGCTGGGAGCGGGATGGGTCTCTGTTTCGATGATTGCGACGCCACCGCTGATTGCGCAAATTCTGCGACGTGTACAGAGGGTTTTTGTAGTGGTGGTGATTTTAATGGTGGTGATTTTAATGGTGGTATTAGTTGATCCAGAATTATCCATCGTTACTTTGTGTAAAAAATTGTTCTGCAACAATACAAATTTTAATAACTTTGTTCTAATATCAATGATTCAATATTACATTTAGCCTATTACTTAATATAAACAGAAAAACTGAGATTCTGTAGCAAAGATATACTTTCGAAACTGATGATCTTGTTACATTAAAAATCAATTATCAGAAAAAATGTCAGGCGCAAACTCAGTAGCACTAGCCCGAGAGTGGCATGTTTAATTGTTAAAAGCGTCGCGTTCATTAAAAAAATCACGGGTATATTATTTATTATTTGATTCATCGATCATATTCTCTAGTTTTTTTTTTAGTTTCAAATCGAAAATTTTAGATTTCACTTGGCGAAATCAACCAAACTTGATAATTTAGATTTTTACCGGTTTGAAATCACGTGTAATTTTTTCCCGAGATGCTCTTCATCATTTTCTGAAGTGAGAAAACCCTCTTTGCTTAATTTATTAATACAAAAAACAAAATTACAGCGTACATGTTACGCAGAAAATAAGTCTATCTACCCCGTTGCTTTTGACATATTTTTTGATTCTGGCTCTCTTACTGGCCGAATTGTCCACGTTAACTCTATCCCTCAATATACCCTGTTTCACATTAACTCAGATTCGATTTAACAGCAGGTTTAGAAGCGGGATATTAGTATCTCATGTGAATAAAAAAATCAATAAGTCGAAGGCTCAATGACCTTGCACCTATTCGTGGAAACAGTCCGTAAAATTAACCCTTTCAAATGCTTGATCTACTGTTCGTTTTTTCTTATTGATATGCGCTTTCGAGCTGGGCCAAATTCTGGGAAGAAAATTTAACAATCTTAAAAATTCGAGGGCACTGGTCTGAATGGAATCTGTACATTCTAAGGCTTTTTCGCAACTCGATATAATGATGACAACCCAAAAACACTTCTAATAAACTTTCTTCGATAATGATATTTATAATAATTCTCGGTATTAGTTGAATTTCGCTGATCTCATAATTTAATATTAAGCGGTGTTATCTTTCCGATTCTGAGCAATATTATATTTTCAATTCTATGCAATATTGTATTTTCAATCTAAGAAATATTATATTTTCAATTCTATGCAATATTATATTTTCAATTACATGTACACGCAATCCATGTACATGTACATGTACGTACTACGTACGTAATTGTTTGCTACAAAAATTACAAGAAAAAATGGTTAGTACATGTGGTGAAACGATTTTTTGAACAATACGTAATCTTTATTAGTAAATATTTTTGTCGATATACATGTATTTTATGTACAAAATCTAACAGTAATATTCTTATTACGTATTGCATCTCGCATTATTTTGATTAATTAGTATATGAAATACCCCAATACGTAGTTTAATATAACAAAAAGAAATTACAGTTTAAGGTTTTTAACTAATTAAGTATTTTTAAATATTGCATTGGCAGGAATTCCTCTTTTGTTAGTGTTGTATATGTTCTAATGAACAAAATAAATGTTTGTTATAAATCAGCGTTTGTAAATAAAATATAAAACTATAACTTTGAAAAAATGCTTTTTTTCATATTATATATCAAATTTTATTGTGGGTTTCAATTTAATTTTAGCACTGAATCTTTTTAAACTCGATACCTAAACCTTCCAAACGTGAATCGCTTGCCAAAAAGCGCAAGGTGAATCAGTGTCAAAATATTATTAGTGAAATAACTGGCCGCTTAAAAAAAACTAATTGTGAACTTCAAATAATATAATATGATCTTTAATATTTTGAACATAAATACTTCGCGTCCATCTAAATATATAATTCGATATTTAATACCCTCGAAGAAATGCCTGATATAAATCTCAATTCAATATCACATCTTTTGTGTACTATGAGATATTCATGTGGAAAAATAAGGACCAGATTATATCACTCTATACAAAACAAAGCGTTTCAATATATATCGGATTCTTTTTACAAACCTGGAAAATCTTTAGATACACTGAATTATCAAAACAAGCAACTTAAAGAACAAAATGCAGATAATCTTTTAAATAATTATTTTTATGTCATTAACATTAAAGTTCATTACTTAATATAAATGTAAATAAGATTATAACAATAAATAAAAATATGTGCTACAAATTTTTATTATGACATTTTATTAATTAGTATATGAAATACCTCAATGTACTATATTTCCAATTCTATGTTAATATATTAAACTCTATGCGGTATTATATTTTCAATTATATTTTTAAAGCCTTATGCAGTGTCATATGTCAAATTCAAACTTCTATTTTGTGCCCGTTTGCTATTTTTCAATCAATTATATCTTAAATTAAATTCTCTCTTAAACAATACCCTTAATTATACACTGACTTATAATAAATCATCATGCATATGCATTATTCTTTATTGAATAATGTTTTACTTTGTTTTTATTTTCTCTTTTGTTCTGATTTTTACATTGTTTTGATCTTTTATTTGCATATAAAAACACTCTCTATTCACTCTTCTTTCTATTCATAGTGTCCTTACCACGAAAAGAATTATCCTCAGAACTTTGTGAACAAATAATTGGTGCGTATCATATGGAGAACAATACTACAGCTATTGCCTCTACTCTCACAATTCCAAAACAAACTGTACGTGATACAATTAATTGATTCAAGAAAACAGGTTCTTTACATCCTGTTAAACGTACCGGACGACCAAAAATTTTTGGTTCCAACGGTAAAATTTGGTGGATTGTCGGTAATGTTTAGGATATGTATTGGATGGGATGATGTTGAACCTTTGGTAGAAGTTGATAACAATCTCGATACTGATGATTATATTAATATTCTTTCCAAATATTTGGTTTCTTGAATGAATAATCATTCTTATACAACTTTTCAGCAGGATGGTGCTTCCCGTCATACTTCGCATTATAGTTATTGGTGGATGCAAACACACAGTATTTCAGTTTGAGAATGGACTGCCCAAAGTCCTGATTTAAACCCAATTGAGCATACATGGGATTATTTAGATCGCCAAATTAGAAAAAGAAAACTTCTGACCTCCAAAAAGGATTTAATTGAAGAATGGCAAAAAGTGTCTTTGGATGTTGTATGCAATTTAATTTCCCGGATGCCGCGATAAGTTGCAGCTGTTATTAGAGCTAAAGAATTACATACACATTATTAATATTTTTAGATGAATATTATTCTATAACTTTTTCTCTTTCTATTCATATATTTTTTAAATATTTTTGTTAAGTAAAATTTAGTTTAAATAAAAAACTATAGATACTTTTTAAAATCATGCTAATAATGCACAGTGATTTATCATAGGTCGGTGTACGGATTTTGCGTTTTCTGAAAAACTATATGCTAAAATATGAATCATTTTTATTTTGATATAAAATTAAAAAATATTGATTAGTAAAATTAAAAACTTTTATATGGAAGGAAAAACCCGCGTGTTTTGATATTTTATTAATAACTTTAATTGCCACATATCTAAAACTTTTGTACATACGTATCGATTACAACAAATAACTACATGTAATATTGATTTTTTTTAATATCGATATAAATACCAAATTATAAACTAAACTATCTAAATTCCCATTCTCTTAAAGATATATACGTATCTCACTTCGGATTCTTATTAAAGTTTAATTATTAGTTTACATATATTCTATTGTTGTTACAATATTGAAGATAATTTGTATTTAAATACTTTATTTTTACTAACGTGTATTCTTTTGCTTTAATTTTGAACCAGACACTACGTTAGTGAAAAAAATAATGCAAGCCAAGTATTTTCCCTTTGCTTAATCGCTGGTTTCTATCTTCGCCATTGAATAATGATTAACAGTTGCATTATGCGCAATTGCTAATGGAACAGATAACGATAAATTCAAACCACTTGTAATCGATGCAAGTGCTTGTATAAAATGTAAATGTTTCAAAAGAATGTGTCAACTTTCAAGTAATTTTACTTCCCTCACATATCTTGTGATCAGAAGTCATTTAAATTACCTTGCATTTATAGGTTCAATAACACTTGGATATAGTATGATTTGACAAATTTTCGATAAGCAAATTTATCCGCAATTTTTTACTTCTACACGCCCAAGCGATTGATCATGCATAAAAAGAAACCAACATCGTCGCAATCATGTATGAGGAGGGTGGGATTCGAACCCACGCCTCCGAAGAGACCACGGCCTTAACGTGGCGCCTTAGACCGCTCGGCCACCTCCCCATGTTTGTTTGATCTGCGATTTCTGCATTTTATATAATTTAAATTTATATGCACCAAAAAAGTACATGAATCGAATCATTAAAAATACATTAACGCTAATACTAAACAATTATCCCCAATTTTCTAACGCGAGAACTATCACATTAAAACAAAACAATTCAATTAAACACAATAATATAAAAAAACTTAATATCAAGTGCAAGTAACGTATTCACTTACGCTCCGACTCCAAGTTGTCACCTTCATTCTCTATCTTAGGCTCTAAATAAACGAAATTAAAAAAGGACTTTATTTTTTAGATCAACTTTTTCAAATCGTTCGATAAAGAAATTAAATTTTGATGATTTACCCTCTTCTTTGACGAGTTGAGCCAGAGCATTAGGTAATACTGCATAGGTTATTATATTAGAAAAGAATAAATAATTCAAAATGATGCAAAGAATAAAATTCGTAAAAAATTCTTTACTTTGATTGTCCGATTTCAACGACATTATTGCAATTTTCGCAGAGATCCCTAATATCCAAAAATAAATGAATCTCTTGATGTTCCTAAGAATAAATCAACGGAATCCTTTACCTTGGGTACTAATCTGCTCGAATGAAGATTTCGACTCGTCTTTACCAAACATCGATGCTAAATAAAACAATAAATGGCTTCAATTACAAAATATAGCGAGATAGATTAATCACAACGCTTACATATCCATCTTAAATAATCTCTCATTCTTCGGGCAGCCGAATTCCGATCAACCATGAATTTTCCGGTAAACAGGGAGTGAAACCCTTTTTTTAGATCACTATTTTCATTTGGGCTGATATCAATTGATTCCCGAGAAAAAACTTCAGCTTCAGAAAAAGAAATATAAATATCTGACGAGGGATAAGATTTAAAATAAAGCTGCCACTTCGCCACAATATGAATCAATTCTTCTGCAGTCGGTCGTCTGCAAGGATCATTATCCCAGCAGCGGTGCATTAATTCGATGTAGCATTCAGGTCTGTAACTAGAAATCGTTGGTCGCAATCCATTACATATCTCATATTTTAGACTTTGTGCGTTAGCGTGATCTCCAAATGGTTTTTCACCATTCAAAATCTCCCACATCACAGTCCCAAAACTATAAATATCTGCAGCTTTGGTATATTCTCTCCCACTGAGAATTTCTGGCGCAAGGAATGGTATTACGAGATTTATTTTCTCAGTTTCTTCATAAGAAGTAAAATTTTTAAATCTCTCACTGATTGTATCTGCAATGAGAAATAAGCTTTGAGAACGGGAGATAATGTTGCAATTATACAAATCACCATAAATATAAGAAAGTTGATGTATATTTGCTAGATTTCGTGCAACGTGATTTAACAAAAATAGCTTTTGATGCCAACTAATTGTCGGGAAATTTTGACCAATGTATTCGTGTATCGTCCATTGCTGTGCATATTCATAAATAATAATATAATCATTGGTTTGTGGATGTCGCGAGATTCCGAAACAACGAATTACTGAATACAGATCTGACGGTTCAATTGTGTGTGTTGCTTTGTAATATGAATTTAACTAGAACAAAAACGTCAATGGTGGTGTAAACGTGATAATATTGAAGTTACCAGATATATGAAATACCTCATCATAGACCATTTCAAATCTCTCCTCGGCGTATTTAAATCGTTTCAAAGTAACTCGAAGACTCGACCGTCTATGCCATCTATTTTCTAAAGCATTCCAATCTTCAATTGGACCATTTGTCCAGACAGCAGTATATAAATAAAATTCCTCATCTTCTTCAATTAATTCGATATCTTTAAATCGCTCAAAAAATATAAATTCAAGCACTTCTAGATTTCGTGTGGAATTTAATTGTGCTTGTTGAATCAATAAATCCAAATCACGATTTTCCGTGCTCCAAGAATCAAATAACTCGCGAAAACGAATTTCATTACATTCTCTACACCATTTATTAGAATTAACATTTCGTTTACATTGACGACATTTTTCGTCGTCATTATCTTCATCATGTAGATTTCGATCTTGTTCAATGTCATCGTCGTCATCGTCGTCAAAATGTTGTATCATTCCTAAATTTTCGTTTTCAAAAAGTGGATCTAATTTACCAAATCCCAGTTGTTGCTCATCCTGAGATCCTATTTCGTCTGTATTATCACCATCGATTTCCATTACAAATGAATTTTGTGAATAAATATTTGTAGGTTTTCCATTTTTAGTTTCCTTGACAGAAAAATCAACTTCAATTTCACTTTCCGAATCGGAACTTATATTTCCTTGAAAAAGTGAACTATATTCTTGTTCTTCATCATTCATTTTTCAAGTTTTTATGTAGAAGAAAATGATTGTGGTTAGATAAAGATACACACACCAATGATACAACTTGTGTGTCATGAGAATCTTTGGTGTAACCGAGTCCATTCAGAGCGAAGATAAGTTACGTATGTCTTTAAGTTGTTGCATTCTCAAGTAAGGAGGCACAACATCTGTCAAATGATCCAATCGGCGTATTTTTATTGCCATTAATTTTTGTATATACATCTACATGTACATGTAATAAAATTAATCGTATTGCTGGTACGTGTATATTAAAATTTTTATTTAAAACTTTAGCATATGCCGACTACGTATTGAATTTGATATTACGTACGTACATGTACGAGCACACTTTATTTTAATTATTATATAAATATCAAAATAGTTTATCAAATTACATGTACATGTTCAAAAGTAGACTTCATTACAAAATTAATTTTCAATAAAAATCTTATTTAGAAAATTACCTTTATTTATCACAAAGTGTAACATTGAAAGCGGACATTATTCTTTTTCACTTTTAATGTCGTATTATCTTTCTTTTCATATTTATTCCATAACTTTTCTATTTTGTAAACATCTTTTGCACTTGGGCATTCACTTTTGCTAAATAATTCCTGATTGTATGCTGATTTAATAAGATCATTTGTAAAATATTAGGAAAAGTGGAATTCTTTAAAAGTTCATACGTAGAATACCTACCCTCTCTACCTGTGAATAAGTTAATGGTATTGCGTCAAAGACAGTAACATTCAAAAGAATAAATTACAGTTGCTTTGGAGTGGCTTTTGCTTCTTAATACTTCTGGCGCCATATACAAATTTTCTTGTTTCAATTTCTTTTTGGAATTGCTAGTCTGTTCTGTTGATCTTCAATTATTATGAATCTGTGCCCACATCAGTTATTGCCATTGTAAAATTACCGCGAACTATACTCAAGACATAACGATAATTCCATAAAGCCTTCTTCTAAAATGTTTTAGTAAAATACGAATAAAGAGTTCTTTGTTCGTAATGCGCTAATGCAATGATAAAGTTACCTGTTGTACCATTCTGAGAGGCGCCATATCCATAAAGTAAATATTTTAGTTCTAAATATTTCTGCTATTGTTTTATAGTTTAAAGTTACTATTTTTCATAAAAAGATCAAATATAACAATAATTATCTGCATATACTTCGTTATGAACTTAGTAATGCATTTGAATTTAAGTGCTAAAGGACACTTGTTTTCGTTTTATTGTCTTAATTTCCAGATGGCTTTTGAAGTTTAGCAAAATCCCCATCAGCTATATATGGAATCCACTCTATTGATTAACGTTAATGCTATTCAGCATTCTCGTTCGTTATACTGATCAATTACGTAATGACCGCTTGTTTGGACTATGAATACGTTCAGTGCAAATCATAAGTAACCGACCCCCCCCCCCACCATAACTTTCCGAAAATCATGTCTAATGTTATGAAAATTTCCGGATACAAAGAACATTACAAATACTGATCATGATGTCTTTTACAGATTAGTAGAGCTTCTATATCGGGTATTGTATGTATATTCATGCTCTAAATACAATAAATTGGTCACTTTAGGATATTACATGCATATCCTAAAGTGAGCTCCTGTGAAATTATATAATTAATTAAAATAAAAATAAAATAATAATTAATTAATTAATTAATTAATAAATAATAATTAAATAATTAATTAATAAATAATAATTAAATAATTATATAGGTGAAATTATATAATTAATTAAAATAAAAATAAAATAATAATTAATTAATTAATTAAATAATTATATAGGTGAAATTATATAATAAAAATATAATAAAAAATTAAGTCTAAACTGCTTCAACTATATATATAGTATATTATTTTTGTCAATAATACAAAGTTTAATCAAAATAATAAAAACTAATAAAATATAAAAAATGGATATTATTATTTCAAATCTTTATACTATCTATTGTGATAGGTACTAATAATAAAGTTTATATTCAAAATATAAATAATTAATTAATATTATAGTATATTTTTAGAGCTTTTAATGAGCTAGCTCTTGAGTCTTTCAAGCTAAATTTTTATATATAATTTAATAATATGAGTTTAAACTCTATTAATTAAATTATATGTATGCAAGTTATATGTGAGTTAATAAGCTGAGCTTTTTAAAGCTCTAATATTTTTTTACAAGATTATTAAATTAATAATAATAAAAATATAAATATCATAAATAATATCTTTATTTCAATATTATTTAGAATGATATGTCTAAAAGATTAAGCTTATTATATTTAAAACATTTAATTATAATCTCACATAATTAATTCAGATTATAATTAATAATATTTTAACAAAAACTTTAAAAAGCATAATTATAATATATTATTTTAAGAAATTATTAAGAAAAAATAAAAAAAATCATTTTTGTTTCGTTTTTATTTATTTTTATAAATTTTTAAATTTTTTTGAAGATGAGAACAGTATTTTTTTATAAAGAAAAATCAATAATTATAATTAATTATTATTAAAAAAATAATATATAAAATAAAGTATATATAAATATTATTAATCTGATAATATGATGATTAGCACAGTTACATTATATTATTGATATATTTATTTATTTATTATTATTAATATTGTCACTATTTGATATTTTGATCACATGTAAATATTATATAACATAATTTTGATAATTATTTATATTTTTATTTATATTTTTCTATTTATAATTTTATTTTTAATTATTTAATTTATCTAATTTATACATAATTTATTCAAAATATCAATTAATTCTTTTTAATATCACATTATTTATTTTATTATAATATTATTAGATTTAAATTTATTTTAGTTTAAATTGATTTTGTTTAACTTTAATTAATATAGTACTAATATTACTCTAATATAAATTATATTACTTAGATTAAATTAATATTACACTTATCATTTTTTGGTATTATACTTTTTTCAAATTAATCTTATAATTGTTTTTAAGTAATATTACTCATCATATAAATCTGCATTATATTTATATGTATTTAAACAGATGTAATTTAATATAGAATAAGATAATTCTTAAGTAATTTGAAAATAATTTACAAATAAATTATAAAATAATCAAATAATAAAGTATAAAATTAATTAATACTTCTAAATAATCTTTTATTTATTGTTATTTTTAATTTATTATTTACTTAACTTTGACCTATTCAACTAGTAAAAATCATATTTTGTAATTTTAATAAATTATTCATATTTTTGAATTATAAAATACTTATTCAACTAATAAAAGTATTAGAATATATTTCTTTTTATACTTTCTCCCAACTATCTAGTATTCAACTCTTTCAAGTATACAATCACTATTCTCATTTTTATATAATTCTTAATTAATTACTATAATTAGTTAATATCTTGCCTATACATATAAAAACAGTAATAATTTTATCTTTTTTTATATTACTTCTCTTCTTTTTGATACTTTGACATGTACAATTATCTTAGATCTGTTCATATTATTTCTATTATTATATATAAGTAATATTTCTTAGTTTTTAACTATTATTTTAGCCTTTGTTAATTTTTATTAGGAGTAAATAATAATATTTTGCTTTTATAATTATGAAAAAGAGTATTCTCTTTATTTTTTTGTTATTATTGATATTTTTACTCTGTTGTAAAAAGAATTTTAATATTTGTTTTTGAAATATTTTTTTCTCCTTTTTTTTAAGAATTTGTTCTTAAATTTCAAATTTCTTTGTTTATTAAATGCAATTTTACTTATTAATCTTAATTAAATAAGTTTTTTTGTTAATTATTAATTAACTAATAATAATTTATCTTGAAACCAAATAAAATAGAATCATTAGACAAAATTAATCTAAAAGAATATGAATATGAAGACTTAATCAATTAATCTCTTTATATTATTAATGAAAAACTTAATAATCAGTTCATTTTAGAAATAAAAATTCAAAAAGAGTTAGTAAAAATAAATGATAAAACAATTGATCAAATTGAAATTGAAAAAATTCGTTGAGAATACTTAGAAGACTATTACAAATGTAAATACAGTTTAATTATTATCAATGTACTGTTACCGTTTCTGTTGATTTATTAACTTTCAAGTATAGATCACGTGTTCTTCACATATTTCAATTAAGTAGGAGAGTTATTAAAGGCTTTTATGTGTTTAAATGATTAAGGTTGGAAGAGACTAATTTAATAAAGGTAAGTAACGACATGTTCATTTTGTTGAACTGCTAGAATAAGTTCAGAAATCTTCTTTTTAATTCAAATGATTTAATTATTAAGTAATCTTCTTTTATTGATTAACTTTTATTAAAATTATCTTCTTCTTTTATTATAAATCTAAACAATATTAAT